TTCTTCTATGATTTTGTTGAATATGTTTTCTGCCCCTTTGAGGTCATTTTCTTCACCTTCTTCTATACCTATTACTCTTAGGTTTGGTCTTTTCATGGTGTCCCATATTTCCTGGATGTTTTGTGTTAAGGATTTGTTGGACTTAAGATTTTCTTTGGTTGATGAGTCCATTTCTCCTAGTGTATCTTCAACACCTGAGATTCTCTCTTCCATCTCTTGTATTCTGATGGTAATGCTTGTATCGGTAGTACCTGACTGTTTGCCCAGCTTTTCTATTTCCAGCCTTTCTTCAGATTGAGTTTTTTATTTTCTCTATTTCATTTTCAACCCTTGCACTGTTTGCATTGTTTCTTGCAATTTTCGGTTTGTCTTTTCGACCATTTGTTGCATTTTATTAATTTTTTGGTTTGTTCTTTCTTCCATTTCTTGCATTTTTGGTTTGCTTTTTCTTCCATTTCTTGCATTTTTTGGTTTGCTTTTTCATCCATTTCTTGCATTTTTTGGTTTGCTTTTTATTCCAGTTCTTGCATTTTTTTGCTTTGTTTTTTCTTCCATTTCCTGCCTCTTTTGGTTTGTTTTTTCTTCCATTTCTTGCATTTTTGGTTTGTTTTTTCATTCATTTCTTTGAGGGATTTTCCTATATCCTCTTTTAGGGCCTCTATCATTTTCATGAAGGTGGTTTTAAGCTCATTCTCTTCTGCTTCATTTGCATTGGAATGTTGGAGTCTTGCTGGGGTGCAGTCTCTAGAATCTGGTGGTGTCATATTTGTTTTTCTGTTGCTGAGTGTATTTTTGTAATTTCTCTTTCCCATATCTTCTTTATCTTCTTCTAGTGGGTGCAGAAAGAGCCCCTTACTGGTCTGGTGGTTAGGGGACCATAGTTCCCTTTTGGCGGGTGCTAGCAAGTCCAATAATCTGGTAGTTCTTCTATTCCTTGTCCTCATTCTGGTCCCGTGGGTGGAGAAGAAGACCAGGAATCTGGGGTGGTTAGCCTCCCACCTGGTCCCCTGGTCCCTTTGCTGGATCTGCTGGTTTCCTGGTCTCGTTGGTGGAAGAGAAGACCTGGAATCTGGGGTGCTTGGCTCCTGCCGGGATTGGAAGCTCTGTGCAGTTCCCAGGCAATCCCCAGGCATTGGAACACGGGCCTGGATGCAGGGCCCGTTTCCCTGGTCCTGCCAGAACAGCTGGTCCCCTGGTGTCCCTGGATCTTCTGGTTTCCTGGTCTGGTTGTTGGGAGAGAATACCTGAAATCTGGGGTGCTTGGCTCCCGCTGGGATTGGAAGCTCTTTGCAGATCCCAGGCAATCCCCAGGCACTAGAAAGCAGGCCTGGATGCAGGGCCTGTTTTACCTGGTCCCGCTGGACCAGCTGGTCCCCTGTTCTCCTGGATCTGCTGGTTTCCTGGTTTTGTTAGTAGAAGAGAAGACCTGGAATCTGGGATGCTGGCCTTCACCATCTTTACATTTCCAATTGTCAATATTCTGTTTTAGCCAAGCAAGTTTAGAGGAGTTGTAAGGGGTAGCAATAACATCAGGTCCTTTGCCAAAGATCTGCAAACTTATCCACTCTAAGAATAAGTTGTATAACTGCTTGTGAGTACCGTCTAATTGACTTAGAAGGAGAACGTACTTTGCTGTGGGAGGCAGAGGCAAACAGGTCTCTGCAATTTCAAGGCCTGCATGGTGTACAGAGTGAATTTCAGGACAGGCAAAAGTACACAGAGAAACCCTGTCTCATAAAAGAAAAAATAAATGTAAAAGAAATAGAGTTATAATAATAAATGAAGAAAATAATCCATGTAAAGATAGAAAATACACAGAGAGTCTGGATACTGTATGTTATTGTGTTATTTTTAAATATTTTGATTGCTGAGGAAGGAGCAACAATTTCTAAAAGATAGTTAATTATAAATGCTGTTGGATAAATCCAATTTATATATTTTGAAAATGCTTTGACTTCTAAATTTAAGGATAAGGATAGGTTTCTTGGGAAAAGAGGTTCTTTTTTTGTTTTCACATAAAATGAAAGGCTGTGGATCCCTGCCAGACTAATATGGTTTGATCAAGCAACACCACCTCAAGCAATGGCCCAGGTGATCCAACATCGAAGACATCTGGGAAGACCCACCCTCAGGCTACTACAGCCAAGATTTGGCTAGGCTTCTGTTTTCTCACGATCCCATGGTACTGACAACGCTGCCATACTGCAGGAAGCAGTTTGGAGAGAACAACACTCCAAATCCCAAATATTGTTTATAAAGGTTTGTTTTCATTTATACAGGGTTGGTTATAAATGGTTAATGATCATATCCAATTTCTTAAAATGGGGGTAATATGAGTGAAAGACCCTGGCCCAGTCTAAACAGGCAGCTGAGGCTTATGGAAAATTCCGTTCCCCCACAGCTGCATAGTCATTGCCTATCAGAAGGGAGCTCAGCCCAAGGACACAGGCTGGGTGTCAAACAAGATATCCACGGGCGGCCGGATGGCCAGCTCAGCAAGGTTAAACAAACACAGAGATATCTGCAGGCGACCAGATGGCCAGCTCAGCAAGGTTGAGCAAACACAGAGACCTATTGTTCCTCAGATAGGGCCAAGACTTGAGTTCCAAGAAAAACCTCAATTGCCCGCGCTCTGAGCCCTAGCCTCATTTAAATTGCCCAATCAGGGTCCTGTTACTAGGCATCTCGCTTCTGTACCGCGCTTTTTGCTATAAAAGAATCCCCGAGTCCCCAGCTCGGGGTGCTCAGTTCCCGAGACTGAGACGCCCGGGTACCCGTGTGTTACCAATAAAGCCTCTTGCTGTTGCATCCAAGCTCGTGGTCTCGTTTTTCCTTGGGTTCGGGTCTCCCTTCCGTGAAAGTATCCCTTTTGGGGTCTTTCATGAGATAGAAATGAATACTTTACATTGGTATGAATTTTGATTTACTGATACAAATTTAAGGTCAATTTTGTTATATGTATATTTCTCCTCTTGTTTAGGTATTGTGTTTATACTGCTTTTAGAAATATAATGTATAATTAAATACAGATTATATATAGTCACCGATGATAGTCAAAACTTAGGCTAGTTAGGTTTTCTAGATATACTTGTGATGAATAGATATTCGTCAAACCTTTTAAAGACCTACAGAATGTGGCTTTTAAGATAGTTTAGGATTTTTCATGACAGTGAGACACAATTGCTCTTGGCAACACCAATTACTTCAGACAGGAAGATGGGCATAAAAGAAACTCATTATGGTGTTTGCCTTTGACATGGCAGAAACAGCCATTTGGGAAAAAAGTGTTCTTGTCTGGACCATTTGACTCTATGCTATATAAACTAGAACATGCGGGGCCCACAGGAAAGTGACTGCTGAATTTGTAAAACAAGACAGTCTTGAGGGGTTCCTGCTTCATGAAGGGGTCTGCCAGACATTCTGCATGACACAGAGAAAAATGACTGATAAACTGCCAATATAGCCAGATAGTTTAAAATTTCCTGCTTCACTGAGAAGTCTGCCAGACACACTGTGGCCTATGGGCCAAAGATGGATGTACCAGCATTACAGAAGAATTTCGACTGACTGTGCAGGTAGCGAGATGTCTCTGTCAAATCTAAAGTTTATATATTATTCTTCTGTGGTTTTTGATGGAGTTGAAGAGGAGATAGTTATTGTTATGGTTTTCCTTAGTTATGATACAAGATAAGTTATATAAGACTTTAGACGCACAAAGATAGGATAATTGATACAATATTTTCTTTAAATTTTGCTAAATGTTAACGGACTAAATATTGTAGCTATAGTTATTACTTGGTAACGGTTTTGTTATATATAATTTTACTATGTTAAATTTAAAATCTTTCTTTTTATGTATACAGAAAAGAGATGATGGGGGAGGTCCTTCTGTGTATGTTTCTCTTATTGGATAATGAATAAAACACTGATTGGCTGATTGGCCAGACAGGAAGTGACATAGCTGGGCAGAATCAGGATATAAACAGTCACCTGAGACAGGCACTAATACATATAAAAAGAAGGGGGAGATGTTGGGTCCCAGTCCCCACGGGGTCTCTGTGATGTGCTGCTCAACCAAAAAGTGTGAAGGTTGAACAGATCCATGCAACTAACATTTTTGAAAGGGGCCTAGCTATTTATTTAGAGAGAGCAATCACTTAAAAAAAAAACCCGGTCAGCACTCTATTGTCCCTTAGAAGCCCTAGAGACAGAAAGGGGGTGGATCTGGATGGGATGGGAGGTGGAGAGGAGCTGGAATGAGTAGAGGGAGGGGAAACCCTAATCAGGATATACCATGTGAGGGAAAATGTTTCCAATAAAAGGAAAAGAAAGGAGAAAGAAAAGAAAGAAACCCAAAAGAAATTGGTACCAGGATCATGAAATACTGTTGTGACATTCCTGACCATGTTATTTTGGGGAGGCTTATGGAAGGAGTCTGTAACCTTTAAGCTTAAACAACCATTGGGTGCTTGGAGTTTAATGGGCTCTTCTGTGGGAGCTTGGAATAGAATTCTGAGAGCAAGACGGAAGTTTGAGAGTTCTTCAAAAACTCTCAATCGGGGCTGTATATGTGATATGTTGAGTTCAGAATATGCGCTCTATAGTCCACTGGGGCAGAACAATGAACTGTGATTAACAAGATGAAGGCAACCACTAAAGTGAAACTTTTGCATTACCAAGATAATTGATGCTGTTCAGCTGGGGCGGAAAAGTCATCTGTGATTGAGAAGGGACCAGCATCGTGGAGGTGAAATCTTCTGGGATGATTTCTTCAGGGCCAGCACACAGAAGCTGTGGTCCAGTGGGCAGCACCAAGGCTACACTGCACGCTGAAAGCCCTGCCTGGTAAGGTGTAAGAGTCTCTATTGTGGTACATGCTTTGAAGACATTAAGAGGCATGCAGAGTGGCTAAGGCTTGGAACATGTGTGTGGCAGAGCCAGAGTCCCAGAAGAGTGGCCATTGGGGAAGGCACAGCCAGTTACAGTGAAGACCTGAGTAGTACCTCTCGCCAATGCTTTATTATTTGTTCACATACACAGGCCTAGACACAAACTGACACTTGTGTGTCCACGTGCAAGTTATTTAGTACAGGAACTGCCCAGGCACATAAGCAACCGCAAAACAAATGCAAACACTGCATACCAACCCATGCAGAACCCCACCAACAGACTGGTCATATTATCATATCACTTACAGGACATATATGAAAAGGTTCCAGCTCCCGAAAGAACAAGGGATGCTGGTACAAAAACATACTATGTAAGCCAAGGAACTGACCTACATTACGAAAAGAGGCTGAAAGCTTATGAAACGCCTGAAGGCTTATAAAGCACATTTAAGCATTTCAGACATGAACCACACAGAATATCAACTACTCAGGGCTTGAACAAGCCTGCACCCCCTCCCCTGGGTTCAAGAGGGAGGTGCACTCCAGATGCTCAGTAGGAAGTGAGTCGGAGCTAGCCAGTGGATCTGAATCACAAGGAAGGTCTGGGAGGCTTCACTGCTTCGACCCAAGCAAGACCTGAAGGCAGAAAGGATGGGATGAGGACCACCTAGAGATCATGAATCCCTTGAATCCCTTTCCTGACCCTCTCCCCTTTCTTCTTTGTCTCCCATAACTGAAGATTTGTCACCGACACAAATGAATAGCATACATTGGTGCTTCTGAGCACGTGCTGGTATGGGAAGGAAGGGCAGAGGACAGCCTGCGTTGTCAGTTGTTCCCTTCCTGTTTGAGGGTTGTTTTGAGCACTGTTTGAGGGCTCTAACAGAAACATGGCGGTTTAATCGAGGAAAACAAAACCTTTAGATATTTTCCTTCTATCGTTCCTCACCATGTTTTAGAATGTGTGACTTTTTAAAATGCTGTTTGAGCGGCTGACTTGAGGCGTGTGAAAAATTGTCAGATGAATTTTTGGCTTGTGATTAAGGCAGTACTCCTCTAACATTTCAGAAATGGCCCTAAACATGCTTCTGACACCCTTTACTCCATATTTACGTGAAGCAGCACCCTTGGCACTGGGACTGATGGTTATAAATTAAAAGTACCGATCAACTCTGAAAAATGTGGAAGATACTTTATGTCCCTCGGTGTCAAATTTTCATTCAAGATTTAACCCTTTGTAAAAGTAAACAAACACACCCATTTCCTTGACATTCGCATTTGTTTTATCCTTAAAAAAATGATAAGACTGCATGTATACCAAGGACTTGTGTTCAAGTGAACTTCTTTATAATTTATTTCGACAAATGTTTTGTCTGTACATCTCACCTATGTGCCTATATACGGGGGTCCTGTAAGCATCTCTCAGTTGGAAAGGGGTTTTGAGGCAGGAAACGTCAAGAAGCCCGGGCCTAGGTTTCATCTCCCTCCCTTGCCAGAGCCACCTCTCTGGCTTCATTCTGTCCCTTCTATCCCAGCAGCTCTGTCCAGGGTGGCTTCCTCCTACACTCCCTAGGCCCCATTTGCCTCAGTGTTCAACAACGTCCAGCCTTGCTTCCCAGACACACCAGAGGTTTAATTCCCTTCTCAGCTCATAAGGCCCTTGCTCTCCGGGTGGGCCTTTTGCGATCTAGTGGCAAAATACACCTTGAGAAGAAATCCAGGCTGCACATGTGAACTGAGATCCCCCTGAGACCAGAGACTATATCTCCTTCCATGTATGTCTTCCACAGATCACCACAGTGTGCAGCCGACTGGGGCCAGGGGGCCAGGGTGAGGAATCAGGATGCTGGGTTCTATTTCTTACATTTGATATGCTGCCTGCCCTGGGGCAAGTCCCTGCAACCCCGGGGGCCTCGGTCTCCTTCTCTCTCTTGACATCAGGGTGCCAGCTGATTACTGCTGAGCACAAAACTAGAGAAGCTGAACATTCGCTGAATAATCCTCAAGTGCACTCACTCTCTGAAGTCAGGTTCAGAAGCCTGGGGTACTCAGCCCCAGAGTCATTCAAACTACCAACTTACCCCGTGAACCCCAGCTATGGCCAACTTAGCACAGAGCCTCCCACCTCCCAACCATCTCCATCCCATGCTCCTCTTTAAGAAGCCAGCTACCTGGTTAGCTGTGGGTCTGGCGCCAGGTCCAAGAAGAGTTCTTCAGAGTCATGAGGGCCTCGGCAGCCTCCAGTGTCTCCTGACACTCTGAGGTGGCAGAAACCGAGGCCTGGTCAGAGGCAATGGGGCCCTGCAAAGAAACAGGCGTGAGGAGAACATGGGCTGTGCAACCAAGGCCTCTTCTCAGAAGCACAAATGTCCTTTCAGTGCCCAGATGCCTCCAGTGCCCACTCCCACCCCAACCCCTAGGCGGTCTGCTCTGCACATCCACTTAGCTCCTCCCGCCCAAGTTTCCGGAGCACCAGCTTCTCTGCAGGGACCTGTGGCTCCGGTGGATGACGCTCCACGGAGGAACATGGCAGGGGGGTCGTATCCGAGCATCTGCAAACAAGAGGTGAGGAGATTAAACACTTGGATGGGCGGGTAGCACCTACAGACCGAGACTGGCAGGGCTTCTGCCATACCAGAAGGTGGGAGTCCAAAGGACTGTGGAGACCATGGACCCCAAGGCTTGGACTTGTCCTTTGTCCTGCACAGCCTATTTTCCTTTCCACAACCCCTCTGACACATTTTTCCTGAGACATTAATCTGTACGAGCCTTTTTTACTCTCTCCCAGATACACAGTGACGAAGACATCGGGGAACCACAAGTGTTTGCGTTTTATTCCGACAAGTCCAGGGAGAGAGATGGTGACCTTCCATTTTCAGGGACTGCATGTTGGCAGCATTTTGCCCAGCCACCAGACATCACAAAGAATAAGCCCTGAGCACTTCCAGGAACCTTTCTCTGTCGACCTCTGGACTGTCCCCTGGGCCTCTGTGGCCTTTGCCATCACGCCCCTAGGTTTCTCCAGGACCTTCTATCTCACCCATCTGTCGTGATGTGGAGAAACAGTGCCCACGTGTTGAAGGCCCGCTGTGTGACAGGCCTTGTGCTGGTGCTTTCTTCAATTCCAGAGGGTTAGGATGCTTTTGCCAAAATGACTTTTAGGGAATGGATGCTTGGAAAAATAAAGTCACTTGTACCAAGTCTCTGGAGTAGGGACTGTCAAATCGGGAGAGGCCCCTGTCCTTGCCCCACAGTCTGACATGCAGCCTTCTCCTTCCCCTACCCTTGTTCTCCTCCTTCCCACAGTCCCCCTCCTCCTGTCCCTACGTCAACAAGCCCAGGGCTGGACGCACACTGGCACGAGACACAGGCAGCTCCACGGTCACTTTCTACTCACGGGCTGGACAGGGCAAAAGCCTCATGGGGCTCCACGGAAGGAGAGGCAATCAAGTGCTGTCCCAAGGTCATTGTCATGTAGGGTGGAGGCGGAAGTGGTGGGGGCCAGCAGAAGACAGGAGGCCCTTGGGAGCTCCCCTGCAGAGACAGAGATCACAGGGACTGGGTTCCAGGCCAGCCAGGAAGAGAGGTGGCCTGAGCAAATTGTAGGCTGAGGGCAGGAGCCCAGAATGTCGGGACTCCGAAGACCCCACAGAACCCTCCTCCAGTCTTAATACATCCTATCGTCACCAAGAAGACGGAGGCCCAAGGAGAAGTGACGTTTCCCAATGTCACAAGGCATTGTGTTGAACGATTAGAGGTAGAAGCCCTGACTTTAAGACACAGTTGGGAGGGTGTTGACAGTGACTGGTGGGCGCCTCCCACACTGGCAACAGATTCTGCTTACCTCCTGGGGACCTGTGACGGTCAGGGCGTCAGGCTGGCACGACGTGTTCTCCTTCTGAGCTGTAAAAGACCACCAATACCTCCCCACTGGCTGCCCGCCAGCCTCATCTAAAGACACTCACCACCATTGTGAGAACTCTTCTCTACCTCTACGGGCCTTTTCAAACACCCCTCCCCCAATCTCTGCTTCCGTTAAACACGGACTGCCTACTATATGATAAAATGTTTCCTACCTGGGCCCCGAGGTCCAGGGTGTACTCCCCCAAGGTCACACTGCAAATCTGGGACAGAGCTAGTCACAGAGTTACTCAGGGCCATGCTCCCCTCCAACCAAACTGAGGCTTTCTGCCCAGCCAACGACACTCACTGTGACCTCTGGCTTTGGCAGAGGACTTCTTGTCCTGCCTGAGGGGTTTATGGGCGACAGCCCTAGTCGCTCTTGGTAGTCGAATCTGTCTTCTCTTTTGCAGTACACCATGCAGCCTCTTCTCAGAACCAAGAGCAGGCAGGGCCTGGCTGTGTTCCCTACAGTGGGGGTTTGAAGGATTCCCGATAGTCATGTGAAAAGGGGGCATGACCCACTCCCCGAGGCAGGCACCATACTCACAAAGAGTCGACACACCTGGGACACTCACAGACAGACCTCAGAGTATGAGCAACAGGTTTCTCACCAGGCTTGGGTCCTGGTGCCGCAACTGTGGCCTCTGACATGGTGATTGCCAGGTTCGATTCCCGATGGGGCTCCAGTCTTGTTCCCCATGTTAGATTCCAAGTTGGAGGTACAGCAGGGGACATCCACTTTGTCTTTTTGTTCCACGGCTCTGGGGTGGAGAGCAGAAAGGCCACCGCATCCCCACGCGTATCCCCCAAGCCATTGTAGCCCTGTATGCAAAGGGAGCCTGACCCCTCCCCAACCCAGATACCATAATATGGAGGAGGCGTGATTCTCACCTGCTTTGGGTCCAGGTGCCACAGCTGTGGCCTCTGGCAGGGTGACTGGCAGGTTCTCTGAGGCCAGGTTCCATTCCCGGTGGGGCTCCAGTCTTGCTCCCCATGTTAGATTCCAAGTTGGAGGGCCACCAGGAAACATCCACTTTGCATTTTTGTTCCATGGCTCTGGGGTGGAGAGCAGAAGGCCGCCGTATCCCACGGCCACGGTATCCCCATGTGCACCTCCAAGCCACTGTACCCCCATGCACAAGGGACTCTGACCTCATCTCCTACCTACCATACTCTCAAGGACGGGGATTTCTCACCTGGCTTGGGTCCTGGTGCCACAACTGTGGCCCCTGGCAGGGTGATTTGCAGGTTCTATGAGGCCAGGTTCAGTTCCCAGCGGGGCTCCGGTCTTGCTCCCGGTGTTACATGCCACGTTGGAGGGCCACCAGGAAACATTCACTTTGTATTTTTGTTCCACGGCTCTGTGGTGCAGTGCAGAAAAGCCACCGTATCCCTATGTGTATCTCCCAAGCCTCTGTATTCCCATGTGCATAGGGAGCATGACCCGAACCCCAAACCAGTCACCATACTCACAGGGAGGCATGTTCCTCACCTGGCTTGGGTCCTGGTGCCACAACTGTGACCTCTGCCAGGCTGATTTGCAAGTACTCTGAGGCCAGGTTCGATTCCCGGTGGGGCTCCAGTCTTGTTCCCGGTGTGACATTCCAAGTTGGAGGGCCAGCAGGGGACATCCACTTTGTCTTTTTGCTCCGTGGCCCTGGGGTGGAGAGCACTCAGGCCACTGTATCCCATGGCCACCATGTCCCCACAAGTATCCCCCAAGCCACTGTATCCCCATGCACAAGGGAGCCTGACCTCGTGCCCAACCAAGACAACATACTCTCTCAGGAGGAGCCGGGTTCCTCACCTGGCTTGAGTCCTGGTGCCACAACTGTGGCCTCTGCCAGGGTGATTTGCAGGTTCTCTGAGGCCAGGCTTGATTCCCAGTGTGGCTCCAGTCTTGTTCCCGGTGTGGCATCCCAAGTTGGAGGGCCACCAGGAAACATCCACTTTGTATTTTTGTTCCGTAGCTCTGAGGTAGAGAGCAGAAAAGCCACCGTATTCCCATGTGTATCCCACAAGAAGCTCCATCCACATGCACAAAGGGAGCTTAACACACACTCTCCAACCCAGACACCATACTCATGAGGGCGGGGTTTTCTCACCTGGCTTGGGTCATGGTGACACAACTGTGACCTCTGCCAGGCTGATTTGCAAGTACTCTGAGGCCAGGTTCAATTCCCGGTGGGGCTCCAGTCTTGTTCCCGGTGGGACATTCCAAGTTGGAGGGCCAGCAGGGGACATCCACTTTGTCTTTTTGCTCCGTGGCCCTGGGGTGGAGAGCACTCAGGCCACTGTATCCCATGGCCACCGTGTCCCCACAAGTATCCCCCAAGCCACTGTATCCCCATGCACAAGGGAGCCTGACTTCGTGCCCAACCAAGACAACATACTCTCTCAGGAGGAGCCGGGTTCCTCACCTGGCTTGAGTCCTGGTGCCACAACTGTGGCCTCTGCCAGGGTGATTTGCAGGTTCTCTGAGGCCAGGCTTGATTCCCAGTGTGGCTCCAGTCTTGTTCCCGGTGTGGCATCCCAAGTTGGAGGGCCACCAGGAAACATCCACTTTGTATTTTTGTTCCGTAGCTCTGAGGTAGAGAGCAGAAAAGCCACCGTATTCCCATGTGTATCCCACAAGAAGCTCCATCCACATGCACAAAGGGAGCTTAACACACACTCTCCAACCCAGACACCATACTCATGAGGGCGGGGTTTTCTCACCTGGCTTGGGTCATGGTGACACAACTGTGGCCTCTGCCAGGCTGATTTGCAAGTACTCTGAGGCCAGGTTCGATTCCCGGTGGGGCTCCAGTCTTGTTCCCGGTGGGACATTCCAAGTTGGCGGGCCAGCAGGGGACATCCACTTTGTCTTTTTGCTCCGTGGCCCTAGGGTGGAGAGCACTCGGGCCACTGTATCCTATGGCCACCGTGTCCCCATGTGCAAAGGGAGCCTGACACCTCCCCATCACAGACACCATACTCACAAGGGGGCAGGTTCCTCACCTGGCTTGGGTCCTGATGCCATAGCTGTGGCCTCTGGCAGGGTGACTGGCAAATACTCTGAGGCCAGGTTCGATTCCCAGTGGGGCCCCACTCTTGTTCCTAGTGTTACAATCGGAGTTGTAGGGCCACCAGGAAACACCCACTTTGTATTTTTGTTCCATGGCTCTGGGGTGGAGAGCACTAAGGCCCCGGTATCCCATGGCCACTGTGTCCCCATTTGTAGCCCAAAAGCTGCTCTATGAGCATGAACAAAGCAAGCCTGACACCCTCCCTAACCCAGACACCATACTCACAGGGAGGTGGGATTCTCACCTGACTTGGGCCCCGGTGCCACAACTGTGGCCTCTGCCAGGGTGATGTGCATACACTTTGAGGCCCGGTTCGATTCCCAGTGGGGCTCCAGTCTCGTTCCCAGTGTTGAAGGACCAGCAAGAGACATCCACTTTGGCTCTTTGTTCCATGGGCCTAGCATGGCGTTGCAGAAATACCACTGTATCCCCATGCCTATCCCCAAAGCCATTCTACCCCATTTGCAGAGGAGACTGACCTCCTCCCCATCCCAGACACCATACTCATGAGGATGGGGGTTCCTCACCTGGCTTCGGTCCTGGTGTCACAACTGTGGTCTCTGCCAGGGTGATTATCAGGTTCTACGAGGCCTTTGACAGGGACAATTGCAGATTCTATAAGGCCAGGCTCGATTCCCAGTGGGCCTGCAGTCTTGTTCCCCGTGTTACAATCCGATTTGGACGGCCAGCAAGGGACATCCACTTTGTCCTTCTGTTCCATGGCCCTAGGATGGAGAGCAGAAATGACACTGTATCCCCATGCGCATCCCCCAGCCACTGTACCCCATGCACAAGGAACCCTGACCTCCCCATCACAGACACCATACGCATGAGGACAGGGGTTTCTCACCTGGCTTGGGTCCTGGTGCCACACCTGCGGCCTCTGCCAGGGTGATTTGCAGGTTCTATGAGGCCAGGTTCCAGTCCCAGCGGGGCTCCAGTCTTGTTCGCAGTGTTACAATCCGGGTTGGAGGGCCAGCAAGGGACATCCACTTTTATCTTTTGTTCCACTTCCCTAGGGTGGAGAGCAGAAATGCCACCGTACCCCCATGGCCACCGTATCTCCATGCATATCCCCCAAGCCTCTCTACCCCATGTGTAAGGGACCCTGACCTCCTCCCCAACACAGACACCATACTCACAAGGATGGCGTTTTTTTTGTTTTGTTTTGTTTTTTTTTTGTTTTGTTTTTACCTGACTTGGGTCCTGGTGCCACAACTCTGGCCTCTGCCTGGGTGATTTGCAGGTTCTTTGAGGCCAGGTTCCATTCCCAATGGGTCTCCAGTCTTGTTCCCAGTGTTACCTTCCAAGTCGGAAGGCCAGCCAGGGACATCTTGTTTGTCTTTTTTTTCCATGGCTCTAGGGTGAAGAGCATGAATGTCACTGTATTTCCGTGGCAAAAGAGTAACTGCTCTTTCCTCAGCATAACAACAGCAAAAAACAAACAAACAAACAAAAAACCAGACCAAACTACAGCTAATCCCGCCCAACCAAAGAAACATAAATATCCCATCTCTGGTGACTTGAATGGTCTCCACCATGCTCCCCTCTGCTACTGTCACTTTGTCCTCCCAGGGCTTTCTTTGATCCTCATCTCCCATTTGTACTCACACGGTCTCCATCCTCCACAGGTTTTCTGGACCACCGACCACCTCCCCCCAGCACAGCTCCTGAGAACTTCTTGCTTTGGCTCCTTTACAGGATCAGTCTTCTCAGACTCACTCCACACATCCCATTTCTGGGAACACACAAGTAGCCCCTGACCTCCCTGCACAATCACACCAAAGCACAGACACTGCCAGCTGTCTTCCCGATGCCCTCCACTCATTCACTCCCCACATGGGAAAAGATGCACCAAGTACTCAGTAGTCCCATGGATGCCCAGTTTTCAAGTTTCCCTTCGCCCTCCATTCAAGTTTTCCTCACACCACACTCACAGCACACTTTAATCTTAATTATTACCTTGGTCTCCCTTTCAGCGGATTATCCTTTTGTCCCGCACCCCACCCCTACCCCTGCCCTTGAAATCGTATTGTTCTTCTGAAGGCAGTAGACACGATGCCTGAGTCACACCTAAAAACCCACCCCCCAGGAACCTGGGGAAGGGGGACCACCACTGAGACCAACTCAAGCTAACTAGTGAAGTGCTGGGTTTAAACAAACACTAGGCTCACGGATTCCATCCGGATCTCTCTCGGGTGCATTCTTTTACCCTTTCATCCCTTCCCAGCATTCTATAAGGGACAGATGTTTGTCAAAGCCCATGCGGAGTCCCAGGCCCTGACCTAGCCCAAAGGGAAAGTATCTGGCAGAGTCAGCTTTCCGTTGGCTCAACATATGCCCTCTGGCCCTCTGCTTTCATCAAACCCACGTTCTCTCCCCAGTCGTCCACAGTCTTGCAGACGCGCCTCAACACGTCGACGGTTGGGACCGAGTATGGCTTCTTCTCTTCCCTCACACCCTCTACCTGCCTCAACTGTTCTGTGGCAGTTCCCAGACTGCGAGGTAACCCAGAGCTAGGTGATCTCTGAAGAGGTTGGGGCAGGGTGCGTGGGGACTGGGAGGAGCGTGAGTGGGCAGACGGGCCGGGTGGGGGCAAGGAGCCTCCCTTCAAGCTGTTGGCTGTCTCCAGCTGGCTTCGCATAAGAGGCCTAAAATGAAGAAAATGGGCGCCCTGGCGTGACTGAGGGAAGAAAAAAGGCACAGAAGAACATGAAGGGCATACTTGTGCTTACTCCGGACCCCAGCCCTTCATAATCAGGGAGTAGAGCACCCGAGAGAAGACGCGGCCCTGTTCCTCGATGCTCCTTCTTTGGTTCCTCAGTTACAACTCGGGCTTTGGCTCCTCCCCCTGCCTTGCCACAGAGGCCAATGAGTTAACAGCACGCGCCCCTTGAAAACCCGCCCCCTGGTGGCTGCTCTGAGACCCACTTCCGCCCACATGCGGATGTGGTGCCTATAGGCCTGTAGTGGTTACTGGTGCTCTATTAGCTAATCCGGCCTTTACCACTGGAGGAATAAATTAAGGTTTGCACCTTCTAGTGGTGGTCCGGAAAATTGCTTCTATTTGGCTGTGAAATAACGGGTGTCTGTGTGTGTGCACGCGAGCGCGCGCGCGCCTGTTCCTGAGGTGTGCATACACTTTCAGTGGGTCCCCATTGCTAAACTGTTATTTGCCCTTTCAGAACCCAGCGTGCATGCTAGGCATAGACCACCATCAGTCCTCACATCGTGTTTTCTCATTCAGCAGCAGTCATCGTAAAATCACAGAGAACACTGGCCGATGTCTTGAGACACTGTGTTCTATCTGGTTTGAGTCTATCTCTGAGCGCTCTTTTCAGTTCCAAGGATAAATCCCTCAATGTCTCTGCTAGCTCTACACTGACTTAAGCTTGTTGGTTTGTTTCTTTGTTTGTTTTTATGTTTTGTCAGTCCATTACAGGACATGATGTCTCCGAAGAAATGTCTGTAATCCTTGTTCTTCAGGCCCAAATGCAACTTTCCTGTTCCTTGTCTTTTGTTCTTCCACGAACATGTGAGATTCTGCATGAGAATTCCATACTATACTCTCGGTTGCAACGCGTTTGAATTGCATTTTCTTTGATTCTGGGATGAATGGAGAGGGAACTGCCTGTCCTGAGGATTCCCGGCCTTCCTAGCCATCAGGTGGCATGTCTCTCCCTTTATGCGACTCTGTCCTCTTTTTGTATCGTCCACTTTTGTTTTTAGGTTTATCTTTTGTACATTCCTATCCGGTACACCTTGTGTCGTTTTTTGTTTGTTTGTTTTTTGTTTTTTTTAATCCCAGAACACTGTAGAGTGTCTCCATTCTCCTGTCTAATGTCCTCTAAGCAGGAAAACCTTCACTTGCATCTGGTTTACAAAACTACACCGGACTTTTAATTGGTGCATTGTTCCTAAAGTCAGCTGCCAGATTAAATCCCATTATATAAGAACACACACACACACACACACACACACACACACGCACAAACACACACAGGCGCGCACACACACGCAGGCACGTTCTGAGCCTTTTCTCTGCATCTCAGTTAATTCAAAACTGTGATATTTTGCTGTTGTTTTCAGTGTTAGTGTGGCTCCTCATGAGGGGGTCTAATGGGGACCGCAGTTGAGGTGCTTGTTTGAATTGTTGCTACTTTTAGTAAAATGTCACCAACATTTTCAGTCGAAAAGACTTTTTTTTCTGGATCACCCTTTCCATGCTCACTTTCAAAGCCTTTCCTTCCTCCATTCAGGTTCCCAGTCTCCCTACTTCTTTCCTGCCTGTCTCCCTCTCTTCTTTGCTCCCAACTTTCATTCTTTCCTTCCTTTCTTGTTCCTTCCTTGCCCACTTCCGGTCAAAGATTAATAAACAGCCCTTGTGCCGATTTCAGATGTCTGTTTCAAAAAAAAATCACAAATACACTGCACATGCACAGAAAGTATTTGTGGCTCTCTTTGCTCTTTTGCAACACAGTGCATGGCATTTATAGTTCCTTCTCACTTGCTAGCTAGGCTTACTTTAATTTAAAAAGTGTATACCACAAGGGATAGCATATGCTTTGTCATTTTCTAAAATTAAGCATACACTGCTATTTACACTCTAGAGCAAGCAACAGCATGCATTATCAACACAGACCTCCTTCTCAAGTCCCCTTCCATTCTGAGAAGTCTAATATGAGCTGTGCTTTGTTTTCCTGGCAAAGTATTACTACAAACACACAAAAAATCTAACAGTTGTGACAGATTATTTCATATATACCAGGAACTTTGGTCTGATCCACACTTGCCTAGCAGTTTAGGGTCTTTCCTTCCTAGGGGACACTGACATGATGTTTCTTTCCTGTATAGTAGCTTCACCAGATTCTAAAAGACCAAACTCAAAAAACCTCTGCTACTCGTGGTCAGCTTCAATATACAGGAACTGTGGTTTGCTTCATCAGTCACTTTATGTTCCTATATTGTGCCTGGAAGCAGGCTAAGACAGTGGGGACAGCAAAATTGGCCAGAGACCTCACAATCTACAGACAAGTTACTGTCAGAGGATGAGCCAACAATGGTAAGGCCCCATGAGCTTGATGATGGCTCTCTCATTGTGCCTCTAATTCTGCTAGTCCTAGATAGCATGTTAGTTAAATTCTTGAGTGAGATATTATTTATTATGTCTCAGTTTACTGATGAGATACTTGAGGCCTGGGTATCAAATACGGCTTGCTTGTTTTGAATGGTATACACATGGGAGCCCAAGTCTTCCAACCATACTGACCACAGTGCTCTCCGGTTTGCCTTCTGTTCAATTCTTACTCTTGCTGGCCCACATTTAAGTCACTGAGACCCTGCAGTACATACAAATGTCCTTTCTTTCCACTCATTGACATTTACCACCATTTCTGAAATTTTTTACTTCATGCCATAAACACCTAAAATATACAAAGGAGTGGGAGCATGCCCCCAACAAGAAAGCTGACACTCTGGATAAAATACAATAGTTAATGTGCAGCATGGGCCAGGGAGTGGGCTTGAGATGGTTTGAAAGAAAATGGGCCCCAAAAGGAATGGAACTATTAGGAGGTGTGGCCTTGCTGGAGGAAATGTGCCACTGCGGGGTAGGCTTTGAAGTCTCATTTGCTCAAGCATCCCTCGGTGTGCATCAGTCGAATTCCTGTTGTCTCTGAGTCAAGCTGCAGCACCACATCTGCCTGTATCCCACCATGCTCCCCGCAATGATGATAATGGACTGAAACTGTAGTGGGTCACCTCAAATAAATATTTCCTTTATAAGAGGTGCTGTGCTCATGGTGTCTTTACATAGCAATAAAACCTCTAACTAAGATAGGGCTCAACGGGGTAAAGTGCTTACTGAGAAGGCCAAAGATCCAAGTTGACTCCCCAGTATCCACAATATCTCAAGGGAGAACTGATTCCCACAATGTGTCCCTTAACCTCCAAACTTGTGTACCTGAGAACACACACAGTCACACACACAACTACACACACACACACACACACAGAGAGAGAGAGAGAGAGAGAGAGAGAGAGAGAGAGAGAGAGAGAGAGAGAGAGAGAGAGAGAGAGAGAGAGAGGATGCACGCACCCATGCACGCACACAGAAGCAGGCAGGGGACCTGGTACAGACACATGCAAGCCCTGTGCCCTGGTGTCCTCTATCTCCTCTGAATCTCATGTTCATTCTGCTTCCTCTTCAGTGGGATTCTCTGAGATTTGAGGGGAGGAATTTGTTGGAGACTTCCCATTAGACTCTCTTCCCCCATATAATGTCTGGCTTGTCACAGTGTCAGTTCCAATCTGCTGTCAGGGGAAGCCTCTCTGATGATGACTGGATAAGGCACTGGTCT